ATCGCAGCGAGTTACAATTCAAATTTTATAAGTTTTCTCAGTTTTATTTGTTCATTAATTTCAGATTTATTTCGATCAAGCAACTGAACAACCTGCTTAAGTAAATCGTAAACAATATCCAAAAGTTTCTGAGAAATCTTCAAAAAAAAAACATGTTTCAGACACTCGCTGAAGGTGGTAAGTTCTGTTATTCTTCAACAATTGTTTGATATCTTGAACAAACAAAGTTACATTAACTGTGATGTACTGTAGTTTCAGTTCTAATAAATTCCATCGTGTCACTATTTTATGGATTTTCTAAAACAAGAACTGGTGCACTCGATCAAATATTGGATAGAGATGAATTAGGTATGATTCATTCTACAATATAGATAATAAATACAGTAAAACCTGTGATCTTCAGTCTCTCGTCAAGTAAAGATAGGCAGGTGTGGTAAAACCTGTTAAAATCTGTCAATCCTTTTGGTTCATTGTTTAATATAAGATCAATACACCTGCATCAGCGAACCATGACACCAGTATTTCTAATTTAGTAGAAAATTAAATCTAGCTTTCATAAATAATCCATAATTCGGTTTATAGCAGAGTTCTTGGTTCCCGGCAGCCATTATGAACTTTGTATTTATGAACTGACAAAGCGATTTACATTAACAAATATAAATTTCTGATCACGTAAATTTACCCGTTGATAATTTATGTAATGAATCACTTATCTAAGTCATTATTACAGCCAGAATTTTACATGCAACTGCGGAAATATTTGTAATTTATCCGTAACTCAAACTGCCATTTTTTGATCCCTTTATATTCGAAATTTATAGGTTTTACTGTATATATGTTATTCATTTTGATACATTTTATAGTAACATGTACAATTATTTAAACAAGTGTTTTTTATCTAATAATCGAGAAATTTTTCAGAAATATTTGAAAAAAATAGAAAACGACTGAAGAAACTTTACCAAACAGAATACAGTTATATGAAATCTTTCTTATGGGAAAATAAAAGAAATGATTTTCCTATAAAGCATTATTACGTGAATGTAAAACTGCAGGAAACAGATAATTTTGGTGTTAGTCCAATTGGTGACATTCTTGATATCAAGGATATATTTAGGGAAATCGATGATGGACATACGAGCATCCTTGTATGTGGGGATCCTGGTTATGGCAAAACTGCATTGTGCAAGAAGATTGCCTACGATTGGGCTGTCGATGATCCCTCAAATAATTACTTAAGTCGTTTCGACTTTGTTGCAGTCTTAACATTTACGGAACTTGAAAATGATAAGGAATTGGAAAATGCTGTTCTAGAAGATATTTTTGAAACTTCAGATCCAGAAATGAAGAAAAAAATACGGAGGGCAAATCTAAATGTCTTAATTATTTTAGATGAATACGATGAAGAAGTTAATAGTTCTGATAGAACCAAAAATTTTTTAAGAAAGGGTTCCTTTGGTATTTTTCGAAAATTGACAATTATTGTGACGAGTCGTCTTCACCCTGCCGAAGGAATAAGAGAATACATGAATTTTCGATTTCATCTTCAAGAATTTTCACTCTTACAGCAGAAAGAATACGAAAAGTTGGTGTTTAAACAAGATGTTTTTAAAACAGAAATATTTTTTATATTATTAGAAAATGAATTTTATTTATCTTTGTCTAAAAATCCGTTATTTTTGCATATGCTTTGTTGTATGTACAGCAGTAATCGATTAGAAGATACACAAAAAAACACAGATTTGGAGATTTATATAATACAATTGATTACAAACAGATTAAGGAAAAAATTTCAGATAAATTTCACTGAGTCGATAAAAAATTATTTTCCTTTTGAAGAAATTTTAGTTAGATTAGGAAAGTTAATTTACGAGAAACGTACCATTAAAAAAGTGCAATTAATACACTGCTGTTTCGATAAAGAACAAAAAATTACAACCGACGATTTAAATAAGTATTTCCGTGACCTTAATCAGATTTTTTCTTATGGTTTGGATTTTCTTTCTCACTGCTTTGACATTGACAATAATCCTTACTTTGATTGCGTTCACGAGACCATTAAAGAATTTCTCGTCGGTTTGTATTTGTATAAAAACCGCGAAGTACCTTTCCCGAACGTCACTATCGATTCTAATGTAATGTGTGATACAAAGTTTACAACTCGTTACAATTTTATTCGCTTCTATTTTGGTTTATTTAAAGACGAAAAAATTCCAGAGACTTGCTTCAAAAATTTACGAAAACTTTTGTTTTCGTTGGACCTTTCGATAATGATATACAACGAAATCGTCAATGAAGAAGACAAAAAGATATTTTTCAACACAATTAAAAGGTACGAAACCCCTTTTAATTCATGTATCAACTATTCTAATTAGACAATTCCTTCAGATTTTTCACAGATATACTTTATTGTTAACATTTTCGAGTCTACTAACGTTACGTTTGAAAACCTGAATAAACTTTACAATAGAGTTTGGTATTCCAATCAAGTGGAAATATTTATATTTCTGAAAATATCGAAAGAGTATCTTAGACCGAATATAGGAATGAAAATTATTTCGAAAAAGATGGAGAACATTCGAGATATATTGATTAAAAACACGTGGAACAAATTTAAAATCTATTTCCGTGGAATAGTTGAGGTTCCTTTTGTGATTGATCGTATTGAACAGACAGGTCGACTGAATACATTCCCTGCATATTTGTTTAAAGATTTCAATTGTGTCGAAAATACTATACAAACATTGGTAGTTGATATAGGCCTAAATCAATTAACTTACCAGTTGGTCAAATTAAAGTTTTCTACAAAAGATGACACCGAAAATAATTGCTTACTTTTAAAGAAGGATCTGTATAAAAGTATACAGCCTTATATCAAGTTATTTCCCAATTTATAACTGCATACATTAGAAAATAATGATAGTAAATGATCCTTTTAATGCATTTGTCTGTAGTGTAGTAAACGTAATGAAAATTGCAAGTTGCATTATACAGTTGACCTTTTGGCCAATAGGATGTTATTAATTGATATCCATTATAAAAGTATAATTGATGTGAAAATTTATTGTGTGACGACATTAAAAGTTATCAATATTTTATCAAATTACATATATAGATTAGTGATGTAAATATCTTGTGCGTTCAAAAATATTCATTATGTTAGTTGCTTGTTAGGAGATGGCAGGTATTCAGTAGAATACTTATTCAATGTAAAGAAATACATTGACAACTTTATAACCAAAATTTATATTATTATGCTTATGTTTTCCTATAAAGTATTAATTTTGGTGAATTCCGGATGATTTAAATGCAAGAAAGCCTTGGTATATGTTAACTAATAATAAACTATTGTATCTTATAATAATTGCTTTGTGTTAAATTTTACAATTTTTGTATTTTTACACTTATTAATACAGTTATTTTAATTGTGAATAGAATTTTTAGAAAATGTTGCATCAAACTAAAACTTTGTATGCGAGGAAACTCTTAGTTTCCTGTTATATTATATACAGACAGCATCGTCGACAGCTTGCGTGGAGTTTGGTTTGCTTCGTGTGCCATTTATGTTTAACAAATGAAATACGTAATATGCCGATGTCAGGTCTTCCGATGGTTACTATGGGAGAAAAAAATGGGGTGAGATGCGAATAACGTCACAGCTTATATCTAATCTTTATTATATTATGTAGCTGCTCTGCAAAAAAACATCTATCTTGTTTTCCTTTTTTTTTGCTAATCTAAACAACAAAAGTAATTCCTCCCACTGATATGCAATGGTCTTGATAGAATCGCAGCGAGTTACCTTGTTCCAGTGAAATATGGATATTTTCTTAGGGTTTGAATTTAAATTCATGGCAGCATACAGGCTTTCATATTGAGTTTTCCGTGTTAAACTATAGGAAAACCAATTGTGAGCCTCTCGAATAAGATATTCCAACTGTCATGGTAGGGTTTGACATGCTTTTTCTGTACATAGATGAAGTGAATGACAAACACATCTTACTACAACCAAGCTTGGAACATCACCTCTCAACGATCGGTCGAAAGAGGGTCGGTACCTCTTTCGCACCCTGTCAGGATGACACCACTGTGTCTTTAGGATAGACACAGACCACAACTTTAGAATTTGCGCGAGCGGTCACGTGCGCGGGCAATCGGATCCATGATGGAGACTACGTGACAGACAGTGTACTGGAAGTGACTCACTCAGATTCCAGATTAATAAACAATAACAATTTCATTTCAACGGGAAGGAGAACACGACAATTTAGATCTGTATGGTAACCAGCAATTTGCTTTTCTAACAAACAACAGAACAAGTTAAGAAAAAGCATTACATTGATTTAAATTTAACACGACCCAAACTGGAGGTTTCACTCCGAACACGCAACACGATCGCCTGCCATAAGTTACAACAAGGTTCCGCTAGAGGATCTCAGCCAATCAAGGTCTATATAAGGAGATTGGGACTCGCTTCTGGAGCCACCATTTTGAGTCGCATGTTTTAAACGAACTTGTACGAGCAGTCAGTTATATACGACATTATTTGAACTAAAATTGCATAAATCCAGTGATTTAAAGTCAAAAATATAATAATAATTTCAGATTATTATGCAATTCCAATTTTATGTAAGTTTTTAATCAAATAGTTTAAAAAAAAAACAATCATGTATATTACTTGCTGTCGTGGTTGAAACTAATTAAATAGATGTAAAGTGATTCAATAACATCATAGAAAATTTAAAGTATAATAAAATTTTGGAACTTTATTTTATATTCTTTATTTTAAAGCACTTTCCAATACAATATTACTTAATATATTAAAAAATGATAAATACTAGACTAACGTTTAATTAATGAACATTTTTGGCCTTAGAAAGGCTTAAATGTCATATTTTCCGAATTATATAAAATTTATTAAAAAGCATAAAATTAAACACAATTTACTGATATTTTTAACAGAGCTTATCTGAGTCATAACTTTTTTCTCTGTATACACCCAAGATACAGATATAATAAAACAAATTACACTATTTTTGGAGATCAGCAGACTCTCTGCAAATACTGGATTTGATCTGATTTAAGAAATAAATTCAATTTGTTGTCCATTGCGTCTTGCTTTGTGTCAGCTTTGCTATCTAAAATTTAAA